TTTTTTTTGTATTGTTCCATCTGCCTTCTAGCTTCATAACATCAGTGAACAAAACTCATACTCACAGAATTTGTGTTCCCCGAGCAACCAACTGCACAAGATGACAATGCTACGAACATGGCCAGAGCTAAGACAACCATCTGGGGATAACAACAGTTACACAATAGTTATGTAAAAGATGACATTTAAATGCTTGCTCATTTACTCGTTGAATAAATCCCGACAAAACACTGTACAAATGTCAGTGTTTATTGGAGAAACAAACAATTTGTGACCAGATGCTCGAAGCTTTGGTTTTATTTTTTTATCACATATCATTAGTGCGAGATGTTGGAATTAATTGAGGAAAAACGCTTTTAAAGGCTTGGGTGTTATGACAGAAACACATTTAGATACGGTTTATATTTATACAGAAAGAAAAGGACAAAGAAAATAAAAATTACAAGTCAATTCAACCAATTCAATATATTTAGATTTAATTAAATCTGCAGACTTTGCTATTTTTGCTCCTTTTTTTTAAATTAAAAACAACTACAACAACAATAATTGATCATTTGATTTGCAAGTTATTGAGTTCAGATTAAACACATTACAAAAAAATTGAAAAGTATAAAGAATAATAAAAAAAAGCATGCCTATAGCAACACAATATCATCACACAATCAATATTCAGCTACAGTTATATTGAAAATAAATCTTACAGTTTCATGAATATCCAAAAATTGTACCTTGAACTATTCAGTCAGCTGTCTGTGGTTATAGAAGCGGGCCATTAAAGTGCTGAAAGAATGAAAATAGCAAAACATTAAATATGTTTGGACATCCAATTTCAATGCAATCAGATGTCTATAAGTGTAACGCTACGCTCACCTCTCATTTCATCATGATGAGAAACTGCACCCTGTCTGAACATGGCCTTAAATACTGACCCGCTTCAGTTTAAACAAAGGAGAAAATTCAGTTTAACAGCATCTAAAGGTGCAATTTTTCACAGACTTGTTGCAAGTGTAGACATGAAATTTCTGTAGTGTTGGCAGTTTTTTGCCCAGTCAGCAGACAGTGGTGACACTGTAAAAGTGGTCATTTTTTCTGACCACTTATTACTCCATACACAGATGGCCAAGGTGTGAAAACAGTCCAACTGACATTAATGTGACGGCTGTGGCATTTCTGTTATTAAAATGATAGTTATCTGGCAAATGAACAAGTGAAGAGTACCTGCAGTAAATACTTCTTGCATTTGCTACACACGTCAAGACATCTTTGAGCTTTAAGATGAAGAATGTACTACTTACTACGAGTTCAACTGGAAGCGTGGGGTGGAGCTAATGTGACTTGAAGCTGTTGTGTTGTGGTGAATGTGTTA